TCACATGTACATGTGAATATGCATATTTAAGAGAATTTCAAAAAAAAATTATATGAATATACATGTTGACAAGTTTATTAAAAATGCACATAGGTACAAAATAATATCAATAAACATCATAAATGCATTTTAAAAAAAAATCTTTTTTAAATATTAATTTCGACATATAAGCAATATTTTAACTGATTTGAAAAAAAAAATTAACTTGTTTTGAATCAACGAATATATTTCTTATATTTCGAAATTAATAATTAAAAAAAATTCAAAAAAATGTACTTTTAATGCATATTCTTTTTTTTTCTTGTATGCATATTTTTAGAAAACATGTGCATAAATATATGACATATGCATATGTAAATGCATAATATGACATATACATAAGAATAAGTATATACATATGCATAAGTAAATGCATATGCATATGAATAAGTATATGCATGTGCATATGAATAATTATATGCATATGCATATGAATAAGTATATGTATATGCATAAGAATAAGTATATGCATAATGAAATTAATACATATGATTATGCTTATGTATATGCATATGTATAAGAATAAGTATATGACATGCATATTAATAAGTATATACGTATATGCATATGAATAAGTATATGCATATTGATAAGTATATTCATATGTATTTGCATAAGAATAAGTATATGCATATGCATATGCATACAAATAAGTATATGCAAAAGCCAATCAAATACATATGCATATGCATAAGAGTAAGTATATGACATATGCATATTCATATGCACATGCATAAGAATAAGTATAGGAAAATATGCATAGTCATATGCATATGCATATGCATATTATGTCATATACATAAGAACAAGTATATACATATTCGTAAGTATATGCATATACATATGAATAAGTATATGAATATGCATAAGAATAAGTATATGCATGAGGAAATTAAATACATATGACTATGCTTATATATATGCCTATCCATATACATAAGAATAAGTATATGACATATGCATATTCATATACATATGAATAAGCATATGCATAATATGACATATGTATAAGAATAAGTAATTGCATATGCATATGAATAAGTATATGCACATGCATATGCATATACATAAGTATAAGTATATGATATACTTATTCTTATGTTTGGTATAGTGAATGAGTTTTATGTTGTATGCTAAAACAATAAAGAAAAGTCTTTGTTGTTATTTTTCTTTTGCTAGGTTGTCTAAAAAGGTGTAATCTTTTATTGGTATGTTTCATGTAGAATTGGTTTCTGGATTTAACCTTAAAAAAGTAAAAATAAGGGCAATTGTAATTTTAACATGACTTAACATTGTTAAACCTAGGGACCAAAATGGTATTTTGAAAAAAATTCCATTTTTAGGCTTACTCTTACTTTTAATTATAATCAACAAAAATCAATCAACAAAAAATAAAAACTAATAATGATAAAAACTCATTATATAAGTTAAATATAGGTTATACTAATTGAATTTAATCAAAATAACAAAAATTTTAAAGAATATTTATGTATTTGAAGATACATATAAAAAACTGATTTATATTGCAATTTTTAATCCTCGGACCAAGGAATGGAAATTAACAAAATGGAATGAATGATATGATCCATTTTCATCTGCCAAAAGAAACGTGTTCTTTTATATATGGAATGAACCATTCAACTTCATTCCTTTTTTTATTCTGATTCCATTGTACTTGTGGAATAGTAACTTCGTTTAGACCTGAGTTGCATTGGAATCAACTTCATCAAAGAAGAGGACACATGGTGCAGATCATCTAGGCTACTTTTTGCTATAAGTAAAAAATTAGAAAGTATATTTCTATTTCTTTTTATAACAAAAAAAACTTGGAAGAAAGAGAAACCACATTATTGTGTATATAATACAAACATTTACAAAGAGAGTGCTTGGAGCTAGAGTAGAATAAGCATCTACATCATTGAGATAAGCTTTAACCTTAGGTACCAGAACCAACTGTTGCAGGGGAAATATACGCACAAAGAAAACCAACACAAGTTGCAAGCACCAGGTTACAAGCAACTAATGCAGTAAATGCTTGATAATAACTGCATTTGCATTATAGTCAAATTAATAATTATGAAAAATAATTCTAAAAAAACTCTATAGAAAGTTAATATATTATATAAAACGGCAAAGGGTTGAAAAAATTGTAGAATTATTTTTGCTTAAGCATAAGATTACCAGTGAGAAGAAGCTTGAAATCAACAATGTTTCCAACTGCAATGTTATTGAAAAAGGTAACAAGCCCTGTAGCAACTTCTATAAGAAGTAAAAGTGTCGACTTCAACACAACATATTGAAATATCTGCACCTTCTTCCTGGATCTCCAATCCTGCTTAAAAATATCATTTTCCACAATCCTGTAGAAGTTGTGGATCAAGTTTAATGCTTAAACATTTCCAGTTATCTTATTCAAAAAAATCTTGATTGATTTGGATAATATCACAAGATTTAGTGTTTGTATTTATAATTCACTCATGTTCTTTTCATAACACATTCATTTCAATTAAAAAATAAGGTGAATTTCAATGTGAACCTAATGAAAATGCTAATCATATAAATTAATCAGGTTTTTCCCCAAAGAAATCATTCACTTCTGAAATCTAAAGTCCAAAAAGAAAAACAAATCGATTAGGGAAAAACCTAAAAGCCCTGAAAAGTAACTTTACTTTGTTATAGCTTTTTTAAATGTTCTTTTTACTTTTTTGATGAAAGTATTACTATATTCACACTCATATACGAATGATCATAATCTATTAAACGTATCTTGTATATGTAGAACTTGGTTATAAATATAAATCATTATATATGAACTATGATAGTGAAGAATTACTCGTAATCAAGAGACTCGATGGGACAAACGTTAGCAACAACAAATCTGAAGTGACTGGGTACACGAATTTACTAGCAACATTCAGCAAACGGTTGCATACATTTTGCCCAAAGTCAAATCAAACAGAAAGCACATAATTTCTGAGGAAAAAACGGTGTCAAAAGTTGGAGAACGGAGGACCTGAAGTGGTGAGGGGAGGTGAATTTTGCTCCATGAATGGGTGAAGAAAGAGAAGATGTGGTCGGTATGTTGAGTGATAGAATATGAAGACCATTGATGCACCAGATTCTTTTTTTCAACTAAACTTTAATAAAAAAAACTATGCATTTGATTGATGCATTGTTTTTTCTCCTCCTTCACTTTCGATATCAACATTGTTCTTAACACTATTCTCCATGAATCTTAATACTTATAAAAACAAAATCTTGAAATCAACATGATTTAAGAAAAAACATCATTTTTAAACTTCAAATCACCTGAAAATTGAAATCAGAAGAAAATTAATGCATATAATTACATAATTACACTATTTAATGAAAGTATCCCTTTTTTGATCGCTTATGATTCTTATAAATTAAACAGAATCTTTGAGTTTCTAATGCATTGCACAATCTCCCCCTATCTGTCCTGTTCTGTAGTATTCTTTCAAATCGAACTTGAAACTTGAGAAAGAAGAGGGACCTACGATCAATTAAAGGGGGGAGGATGGGTTGGGATCAATTGGAGAGGCTGAGAAAAGATGGAGAGAACCTGCGATTAATCTCTAAGAGAGAAGAGGTGGGGTGGGTGTCGATCGATTTTGCGAATCGATTATGATTGAGACGTAAGGAAGAACGATTCAAAGCGAGGGAAAAGAAAAAGAAAGAAAAATGTATAGTTCTTTGGTTCGCTCCCTAAAATGGAGTTCGTTGTTGATATATATATATATATATATATATATATATATATATATATATATATAATATATATATATATATATATATATATAGTTGGATCAAGTGAGTACTCAAAAATAAGTGAGGATTGCAAGGACAAATCTTTGCCGCAGGATTGAAAAAATAAAAGGTAGAGATTTGATTTGATTTATCGTCAATATCTCGCTAGATGATATGACGTTTTTGAATTTTGAATTTTTTTTAACGAAAATAAATTATAAAACCTACTTAAATGACGTTCCATGGACTTTCGCCGCACGTGATTAAATCTTCGACTTCGTATTTGGGTCATATGCGAACACATGGGTCATATGCGAACACATCACAGCCAAGTATTTGGGATTGACGTTTGTGCCCTTGACGAAATGGGTGGTGGAGAATTATCCTCGCAGTCCTCACCATTTTTTGAGTTCTCACAGGAACCGTGGAAAACAAAAAAAAACCCCTAAAAAACCTCAAAAATCATAAAAATGCATAAAAAAAATACCTAGAGATCACAAAACTTTTTTTTGACATTTTTTATGAAAAAATCGCAGATTTTTAAAGAAATTCGCTGAAAAAAATTTGAAAAATACCTTTTTTTTTATTAAAAAAAAAAATTTTGATTTTTTATTTTTTTTTCAGCGAATTTTAATAAAAAGCTATGATTTTTTATAAAAAAAATTCACAAAAAAGTTTTGTGATCTCTAAGTATTTTTTTTATGCATTTTTATGATTTTTAGAGTTTTTTTTTAGGGTTTTTTGTTTTCCATAGAACCTAAACATATATATATATATATATATATATATATATATATATATATATATATGACTTATTTTAATATATAATAATAAATAAATCATTTTAAAATAAATAAATTTGATACACTATTATAATGTATTTGATAGTATAAAATAATAAGTACGTGGTTGTAATGTTAATACTTTCTACATTTTTTCTTTCAAAAATATTATAATTCTATATTAGATATAGACCCATTTTGATGGAAAAAGATTTTATCTTGTACCGATAGGTCATGGCAATCATATTCGATCATGGGTGCCACTTTAAATTCTCCCAAATCCAACTACCGTCATATATTATTTTCTATTCTATTTTCAAATTTTAATTTTTAAATCACACTATATAAAGTTTGCGTTGTGTACGCCACAAAAAAGATCCACCAAGGAAAACACGTCATATTATCTCCCCAATGTTGTTTCCTCCTTTAGCCTTGGCTTTGTTCCTTAATCTCCTTATTTCCACCTCCAATGCTATCACAGACAAACACCAACTCTCCAAAAATGTCATCAACGACTTCTTATACCTCCAGAACCAAGCCCGATCTGCACTTCGTGTGCCACCACTTGTGTGGGACACCAAGTTAGCACAATATGCGGACTCGTATGCAAGCGAAAGGCAACAAGATTGTTTGTTGAAGCATTCAAACGGGCCTTATGGGGAGAACATCTTTTGGGGTAGCGGTAATGGGTGGAGCCCAGCTCAGGCAGCGGCGGCATGGGTGGCGGAGCGGCGGTGGTATGCACATCCTTCAAATTCGTGCAATGGTGGGCAGGATTGTGGGCATTATACACAAATTGTTTGGAAGGAAACCAAGAAGATCGGGTGTGCTATGGTGACTTGTTTGGAGGGTAGGGGTGTTTTCATGACCTGTAATTATGATCCTCCAGGAAATTTTATCGGTGAGAAACCTTACTGATCATTGCATGGTATTATATCTGGTCATTTCAACATACTAGTATATTATATGTAATCTGTGTTTTTCCCTTTATTTTATTTATTGATATTCTTTCGAATTTGTGGCTATTAAATATATTGATTTAATTTATTGTCAAAAACATTAAAAGGTCAGTGACGGCTATCTGTTGATAAAGGGCACATCGTTTATTATGAGGTTGATGGCATAAACATGTTGTTTCACATGGATATGATTTTGTGGACATCAACTATGTGGTGAACAATGAGTTACTTATGAATTTGAGGGTTGAATGTTTGAGACATATCTTTTGAATCTGACAATTTAAGCTTAATTGTTTCAAATAATTGCAAGCTATATATCAACGACTATTGAATAAAACAAGTGACGTTTTAATATGCATGTATACTATAAACAAACTACTCTCATCTGTGATGATTTGATGCTCAGAAGTTAGTTTGTTTTTAAAGAATTAAAAACAAGATAATTTAGAAAAATTAAATAATTTTATTTATAAAGAATACAGTATTTAAAATACCTTTCAAGAAAAAAGTTATAAATCATCAATAATTTTATCGTTTTTTTTGTGATAATGATAGAAACTAAGCCCTACCTCTGCAACATATATTCACATAACAAACTAACAAAGCTACTTTAGCATTATCTTTATGTCCTTCATGATCTTTTGTAGAAGAAATTTATACTTGTTCAATTTGATCCCTTAACATATTCTATAATATATTCTATATTGATAATGATTTTTGTGTTTTAATTATTATATTATATCATAAAATAGTAGTTAAATCGGTTATAATGATCCCGTTCTAATAAAAATGAATAACAATATGAAAAAATAAAAATAAAATAAGAATATAACAGTTATATCAAATATTTAAATATTAAAAAAAATACATTGTAAAGCATATTGAATTTATATGGATGGAAAAGGCCAAAGCCAGAAAGCTTGAATGGGACCAAATCACTTTGACAACTTTTGTTTTACAACTGGAACACAACGTGGATGATGTTAACACAACTTCTACAAATACGTTCTAATATCAGTGTTATCAAATGTTAATATATTTGTATTCTGTCACTCATGTATGTTAATAAACTTCTAGTTCTATGACTAATTATGTCATCAAACTTTCTAATTTTCTTCCAATCAAGTCGATCAACTAAATTTTAACTGATTTTAGCAGTTACCAAAATGATATGGTGCTAAGATGGTGCCTACGTGACAAATTGTTTCAACTTTCTGTATAATTTCAGCATTGGTCATTCAAACATATATACATGCCTGCCATCCTACCGAACCCACATTGTCCCAAGGTGGGGTGTTTGGAGTTTGGACGCCACTTGGTTGTAAACTTTATCTTGAAATAATTTATATAAAAAGAATAAAGAATATATACTTAATCCTTCAAACTTGCGGTTTTGAACATTACTATAAGTACTAAAAATTATAGTGACATCGGTGTTTGCCTTCTTGGTTTGACTTCTTTATCTCCAAGGGATTTTTGGTAATACAACGCAAGTGCAAAAGTGCAATAGCTACGCTAACAGAAGCACACGCTATCTGCATCCAATCTACCAATTTCAACTTAGATTCCTGGACAAATGTCATCTTTATAACAAGTGAACCAACTAAGCAGCTATACAAGGCACCAACAGCCTCTAGATTTGTTGTCATAATCTAAACAATAGAAAGTTTATATATACTTTTAAATAAAGATATATTTCATTAATATCCTTATAAAGTTTCAATATTACAAGGACACCCCCCCCCCTAAATCCCAGAGTACATTGGCGAGTGCCTTTTTTTAGTAATAAAATTGTCCAAGATATGGAAATGCATTTTATCATGACGGCTCGGCAGAAAGCAGTTTTCCAGTGTTTACGTACACCGCATGCTCAAGATTTTCTTCTAGCTATCTATATAGATGGGTTTGGCCAACATATGTCTCATGTGGAGTACCATATCATCCTCAAATATCGATTCATTATTCCAATATTTTCAGCTGACGAGATATGTCCGGTGTGCCGCAATGCATGTTTGAACTTTTTTGGAGAGCATGCAGTTCATTGCAAAGAACTTTCGGGTTTCAAATACAGACACGATATGGTTAGGGATGTTTTTGTCGACATATTTAAGCGTGCCGAGGTTTCTGCCAAGAAAGAGGCTCCAGTGAATTTCTTGATTGACCCGACAGAAGGAAGGTTAACCCTTAGACCGGCTGACGTTTTGATTTTTGAATGGGTTGGAAGGAAACACGTATGTGTAGACCTTACAGGGGTATCCCTTCTCATAGGCTTGAGGGTCGGGGGTTTTACGGTGGGACAAGCTGTATTAAAAACTGCTACATGCAGGGTCACCAGACATGAGAAATCATGCACGGAAAATCAACATGTGTTCATACCATTTGCATTTGATACGTTTGGTTTCCTTGCGCCGGATGCGGTGAAGCTTCTTGATAGAATACAACGGATCATGCATGACAATGTTATATCCCTTGGATCTATGGATGTAGTCTTCAAAAGAATTGGTTTACCATACAAAAAGGTTTAACGGCGCAACTTGTTGTCCGTTTGCCTTCTCATTCGTTGTACGTTGATAACTAAGTTTTATTAATCAAAAAATAAGGGGCAAAATGGTCAAAATAACAAAAAAAATACATCCATTTAAAATTATAAAATTCATATTTATATTCAAACTCATAAAATACTCATATTTTAATTAGGATTAAATCAACTTAATAATAAAAAAAACTTTTCTAAATATCAAAATACCATGTGATATTAGTAAAGAGAAATAAAATATCCTTTGTTTAACTCTTTGTATATGTTTCTCAAACTTTGGGCTCTGTTTTCGCTTCAACGTCGATACAAACACAAGAGATGTGTGTATGTTTGTGTTATACTTATTCCCGTTCGAAGTGAAACACAAGGACACTATCATTGATTGTAATATTACCAACTCGTTGTGACCATAAGCACTATACTCCAACAAAATCAAGGATGGGTCCTAGTGCAACATTAGAGAAAGAAAATAGAGAAAGAATGACAAACTATCTTTTTCATTTTGTTGGTCTCAAAGCATGTAATGAACATGGAGAGTTTCTTTCGTTTATTTACTTTTATCCTTTGTTTGATCTTCTATTTATTTGATTAAGTGGGTTTAATTTTTATTTGAGAAAAATTGTGAAAATCTTTTCTTTCACAATTATGATTTTTAATTCCAAGTTTATTTAGTAGATTTTATGTGGTGTTAGTTAGCTTGGGTATATAATGAATACTATGTAGTTGTAATGTTTGAACCAATATTTTTGAAACTGAATTTTAGTTAGCTTAGGTATATAATGAATCTGATGTGGTTATAATGTTCGAACCAATATTTTTGAAACCATATGTCATATATATATATATATATATATATATATATATATTATATATATATATATATATATATATATATATATATATATAATATAGATATATATATATATATATATAGAGAGAGAGAGAGAGAGAGAGAAAGAAAGAAAGAAAGAAAGAAAGATAGGATTGGGTGAGGACTCTATTTTCGGTGAAGACTGTGAGGCTTAATCTTGGTTGTTCATCTAAAAAAAATGAGTGGCTATGATTTTTTGCGATTTATTTTTATTATTCTTCAACCGATGGTGACATTTTTGAAATTATGTGTAACCTTTTGGAATCTTCCTACAAATGGTAAATATTTTGAGGGCATGATCTTCAATTGCAATATAGAAAACCCCCATTTCATTTCCCTTGTTATTCGTCCTTCTTCTTCGTCATTCTTACTCTTTCAGTAAGCTGTCGATCGATATCGATCGTTTAATCCTTCGTTCGAGATCAGAATATTGTTCAAATCTTCGTTGTTAATCTTCGTCATTGTCTTCTTGATGTTATGGAATCAGGTAATTTTCTGATTTTTAGTTTTTATGTTTTTAAGTTCGCATTTGTTGTGTTTTTGCTTAATCGAAGTTGTTAATGCTTCGTTTTGTTCTCATTGTTATTCAGATTGTTCGATTTCTTCTCATTGTTTTATTTTTTTTGTTTTTATTATTTATGAAACCCTAGTTCGTTGTATATTCGATATTCGTGTTTTTCTGTTTGTTTTGGTTCGATTTTGTGTTAATCGAAGTATTTTAAGTTTTGTTTCTTGTTTTTTTGTTGCATAAATTATTAGATTAGTTTGATATTGTTATTTTTAGATATTGTTTTTTTGTTTATATAAACGTAATTTTATCAAATCTGCATGTTTATCTATTTGTTTTTAACATCAAATGTTAGTTTGTTATTTTAATATTTTGTTTATGCTGATTATTTACCGTGTTTCTATCGATTGGTCTTCATATATTGATCCATGTTTGTAGTTTCTATGTAGGTAGGGTGGTGTTATTATATGTTTTATGGTTTTATTTAAAAATGATTCAAAAAAATGTAGTTGTTATTTATGTTTATATAAGGAATTCATAGTTTTTTGTTTTGGTAGTGTTAAATATCACTTTAGATGTTTATTTAAGTAACCTTCTTCATGTTTGAAAATATCATTTGTAATAAATGAGAATTGTTTTTTTATTCATTGATGTTGTTTTGATATTATTATTTTTTAACATTTTTTTATGTTGTGTTGTATTTATATGTAGTTGAATCAAAGAAAATGAATAGATTATCTCTTCCAAAAGATGCAAAAGACAATTTTGTTGATCTTTCTTCTAACGGAAAGACTTCATTAAGGTCTAATGCTTTGGTAGATATTTCATCTTTTCCAAAAGGAGCTTCATTAGTCAAACTTGTTACAGTTAAAAAAGTTGTGAAAGTCATTACAAGTATGGATGATGATGATGATTTTGTTTCTGCTCATGTTGTTGGTCAAGTAAATGTTAAGAAGACTGAAATTACATATAGGAATCCATCAGATTTAATCTCTACTATCTATAGAAGCCTTAATGATAATCAGAAAGCTTCAGTTAAGGAAATATGGTTTGGATTTCTTAAAGAATTTGTGGTTAAAAAGTTTAGTAGGGAAATTTGTTTGTGGGTTCTTGAGAGATATGATGAAAAGAGAAATGTTCTTCGTATCCATAACAATGAGATTCATATTACTAGGAGAGGTGTTCATGACATGTATGGTCTTCCAATTGGTGATATCCTTATGAATTTACCTAAGAAAAGTCGTTATGCGATTGTTGTTATTAGAAACTAGAGGAATCAGTTTTCTATGACTAGGATTAGACTTGTTAATCTCAGAGAATTTTTAGAAAAAAGTATTGATGAAGGTTTTATGTTTACATTAAACTTTTTGGTTGCATATGTGACCAGCATGGTTGATGGTCCAAGTATGGGTACATACAACAAAAAATCTTTGGAAAATTTTGAAGAAGTGTCCATTAAAGATCTTGATTGGCGTGGCTTTCTGATTGATTGTTTAAATCAGAGCAAAAAGTTGTTGAAATTTGAATCAAATGCAAAAGATATCACGAGTCCTCAATATACTGGACCTATTGCATTTCTAGTGGTAAGTTTAAACTCTATGCTTTTTTCAATTATTTTTTAAAAATTAATTATTATTATTATTATTATTATTATATATATATATATATATATATATATATATATATATATATATATTCATGTTATGTAGTTATTGTATCTTCATTTCACAAAAACATCTTCAGAATCATTGAATAGGGTATATCCTCCCTCGTGTTATTGGTATCCAACAAAAGTTAAAGATAAATTGAAAGAAGCTTTTAGTAATGGAGGTTATGAAAATGTTGAAGTCATAAAAACATACGAAGAATTTGTTGATGATGCAAAAGCTATAGATTCAGAAACAGAAATAGGTTTATCTTTTTTTCTTTTCATTTTATGAAATAATTTTTTATAATCTTATTTGATTGTTTTTTTAATACTTAAATTATTAGATGAAGAACACATTACTCTTGTTAATGTTATGAGAAGAAAAACGCAAAAGAAAAATATGAAAGAGAATGAAGAAACCATATCTCTTTCTGTTGTTATGAGGAAAAAATGGATAAGAAAAAGATGAAAAAGAATATTCCTTAAAAAAGGAATAAAATTTCAAAGAAAAAAGTTGAAGTTAAACAAATTGAAGGTAAATTTTTATTTTTAATTAATTTTTATGTTTATTTACCTTTATAATTTATACAGTTTCTGTTATTTTGGATCATTCTGTTAAAGGAAACAATATTGTTCAAGAAAAAACAATTGAGAATGAAGTTAGAGATGATGGTAAGTTTTTTTCTTTTTGTTTTTTTTAAATTAGTTTTTATCTTTATTGACTTTTATAATTTAAAACAGTTGTTATTCTTTTGGATCATGCTGACAAAGGAAAAAAAGTTGTTGAAGAGAAGATAAATGAGGAGCAAGTGAGAAATGATGGTAAGTTTTTTTTAAAATATTTTTAAAATTGATTTCTTTATGTTTATTGACTTTTATAATCCGAAACAGTTCCAATTTTTGCGGAGAATGCTAATAAAGGAAAGAAATTTGTTCAAGATAACATAATTGATAATGAAATGAGAGATGATGGTAAGTTGTATTTTTTTAATAAATTTTTAATATCTAATTTGTAATTTTAATGTAAGGGATTTTGATTAATTTGATAATGTCAATGAAGATTGGATGGATAGCGGTCCTTCTGATCCTCGATTTGATAATATTCTTGGTGGTTCAAAGTCTTTAGAGTTATATATGTTTTTGCATCATGGTTTTGAATCATATTCTATTTGTATCATTTTTTAAACCTTTTTTGAATTTAATGTTATTTTTCAGGATTTTAAAGAGAAGATAGATTTTCTGTTTAAAAGTTATAGTTGTTTGAAGCCCACTATTGATGATTGGATCAATCGTGCTTGGAATCAGTTCCCAGGCAACCAAGAGATTTTGAAGTATGTTGTGAGACATAATGTTGTATATAAACCAAGTTCATCAAAATCTTATGTTATTTCCTGGTCCATAAGTAAATCAACATGTTGAAGTTTCTAAGGAGTTATCAAATGTTGAAAAACAAAATGAATATGTTCAAATTTATGAGGAATTGAGAGATGTTCAACTTGATCAACTGTCAATGACATAATTTTTGAATCATCAAATGGTTCAGGAATAGTTGTAGGTGTTAATGAAAACAAATGAAGCTTTGGAAGATGATAGTATTGAGCAAAATAAAATGTTGAGCCATCCAATTGTTTCAAATAAATTTCATGATCCTGATGCTATTATTTCAAACCCTTTAGGAAACCCTTCTCTTATTTTTTTTCAGATCTTGCTTTGGTTATTGGTGAATCTTCTACAAGCAATGTAGGTTAAGTTCTTGGATTCAAAAATGTAGGGGTAGTTGAAAACTTGACTAAGGGGAATTTGTTGGATTCAGACATTGGTTTAGATAAAAGTTTTAGAACTCTAAATGATTTAATTCCTCTTAATAGTTCATCAGAGAAGATTAAGGAATTGATCATTTTTTTCTCCAATACCAATACAGTCTTATAACATCAAGGCTAAACCAAGTAGACCGAAAAGAGATTTACAACCTTCTCTAGCACTTTGTTCACCTTATCATAAAAAAGAAGTAGATACAACTGAACGCGTTTCACGTTTGGAAGAAAGGGTAGCAGGTTCTCTGTTTTTAGCTATTCGTAATCCAGGTATTTCCTTATTTATTTATTTTTTTTAATTTAGTATATATTTTTTATAATGTTATTTTTTTAGGGAAAAGGTTTATGAATCTACCATGAATTTGTTGGTATAAGATTTGCGATGGAGTCTCTGATACCGGGTTGTAGGATTCACAAAGATGTAATTTATTTATGGTCTGCTTTTCTGAATCATCTTGAGAAATATAAAGGTCACACTACACCTTTAAGGTTTTTCATGTCTTGTTCACTTATGGTATGATTCATATTATTATGTTTTACTTTTAACTTATTGTGACATCCCCTAATTTCTCGGCCAAAAAAGATCGATTTAATTTATGCTTTTTAAAATAAAATCAGAGAAATCCTTTTAAAAGATGTTGCGGAATTGGTCCCCAAAACAAAACATGATAAAAGTTTATCAAAACATTTCTTTAAGAAAGTATATATTTTCCTTTTATATCAAAACCTCGGGATGTCATGTTCCGATACAGATCAAAAGCATAAACAAGACATTATAAGCCTTACAACAGTTATTTACAACTACTGGCCTATAATCCAAAAATCTCTCATCATCCTCCGACTATGCTCGGGGTCCACTACCTGTAATAATAAAAAGCTGAGTGGGTCAGGCTTGGGAGCCTGGTGAGCATATAGGGTTTTCAACCCACAATAATAATAAACTTATTAAGTTCACCAATCAACAATAACCCTGATTACCCATTCCCGTTATCCTCACTTTACGTCGCTAAACACCTATCACAAGGGACCTAGCCTAAGGAATATCATCGGGATGGACACTACTGCTAAGGGGACTCCTCAGCCATACATGTCCTAAAGGCAACCATGAGGGGGATGGAGTACGCCAATGAACATATAGTTCACCAACACCTACAAGTTGCGAACCTGATAGTGTTCCACTGGACTGTCTAGAAAGGTCTGTGGTCATCATCTATACTCCGCTAGACGACTACAACAACAACAACAACAACAACAACATCGAGGCCTCTCACCATTTTAACACACATCGACTATTTCGTCTACCCATGTTTTACCCAACATATTTGTAGATAAAATACATATACAGTTTAAAACTTGTATAAAACATCTATTCAACAGTCACCTCAAATAAACAATTAATATAATTACACATAGCATGTATTTTATAGAAAATACTTCATATCTAGGTGTAAGATGAAAGTGACTACACACTCACTTGATTTAATGATAATCGGGCAGCACTTCGTTTCCTAAAACGATCGTTTCTAATAAAACCGGGAGTTTTATTGAGAAACCGGGCTCTGCGAGGGTTGGGCTTCAAAAACCGAAAAGATAATTTTCTCGGGCTTCTCGGGCACTTCGGGACGTGTTTCGGGTGTTTGGTATAATACCGGGGCTTTGGGGGAAGTTGGAATGAAAGAAATATTGTTTAAGGGGTGAAAAGTGGCAATTTTCCAAAGTACCACCGGGAGGTCTCGCACCCTTCTATTTATAGGGGCGAGGCTTCTGATCGGACGGCTGAGAGGACTCCACGCGGCAGCAGATCCGAAGAGAAGGCACATGGCTCGCACGTGCGAGGGTCCAGCTGTTGACCTCTGATTGGACCGAGGTCTAGGTCCGAGGTTCGGAGTCGTGGCACACCATGCGAAGGTCGGACACGTCAGGAGAAGGCACGCGACGGACTCCCATTGGACCGCACTTCGGATGCGAGGGAATGCGACACGCATCGCCAGCTGGCCTCGGTGACTCAGCAGTTTCGGACACGTGGCGCGCATGGAGCGAAGGTGACGTGGCCGAAGTCCCACCATGCGAAATTTCTCGGATTTGGTATTTTTTCTCGATTTTTGTGCCAAAACTTCTAAAATCCATAACTTTCGCATACGAGCTCCATTTTTGACGTTCTTTATATGCACGCGTAGGTAAAATTACGCTCTACAACTTTCGTTTAGACTTCATCGGCTAATTTTGATTTAATTTTTATATTATTATTTTTAACAGGCCGGGACAGGAAATTCGTTAAAAATTCATAACTTCTTCATCCGACGTCCGTTTTCGTCTGTCTTTTTACCGTTATACTACTATTGACGAGACCTTCGATTCTCTTTTACGTTGTTTCGGCTAAAAATCACTCGATCTAAAATTCGAGTTTTTAGCTGTCTACTGCTAAGCTGAAACTTAGAAAAATCATAACTTTCTCATACGAAGTCAGATTTGAGCGTTCTTTTTATACATACTCTCGATTTAACGAACACTACGACTTTCGTTTAGATTACTAAGGCTAAAAAGTAGTTTATCAAAAACTCACTTTTTACGACATTCGGCACCGTGCCGGTTTTGTCGCGAAACTTCGACAGGTCATAACATCTTCGTTATAACTCGGATTTCGGTATTCTTTATATATCTGTAATCCTTGTCACGACCACTACAACTTTCTTAATAGATATCAGATTTATCTAATATTTATTTTCGACGCTCATTTTTATTCTTAATTAATTAAATTCTAGTAATTAAACATAAAACACATAATTCACATAATTCCTTTTCATTTCTTCAAAATGAGTTACAAAGGTTAACCTAGACTATCACATCAATATTAATGTCTAGCCTAGAAACACGGGCGTTACACTTATATTCGAGAAAACATCATAAATGGTCCCTATGGTAGTGAAACGACGAAAATGCCCTTCAGTTAACGGACAAAACTTAACGGAGTTAGGGATAAGGACCAACCGTCAAAAGTTTTGAAAGCACAGGACCAGCTATGACGTTTCTAAACCACAGGTACTAAACTTCAGATTTTGGGAAACCACAGGGACCATTTATGATGTTTTTTCTTTATATTTTATATTTTCTAACTCATTTCATTTTTTAGTCAAATATTGTTTTCAAGAAAACGGATAGTATTAATTCACGATGTGTTGATAGAATTCGAAGTCATGTGGAAAAGTTTCACCTTGTTAAAAGTTTAGGTGTTAATTTGGTATGTTAATTATTTATATTTCTATTTTGTTAATTAATTTATATATATATATATATATATATATATATATTACTTTTTAATATTTTATTTTTTCAATAGGTATTCTTTCCTATTCCCAGGAAAAAACATTACTTTTTGGTTGTTTTTTATTTAGTGAATGGAAAGATGGAAATGATTGATAATGACATGTCTACACGAGGGATCCCTTCAAAATGTCGTGTTTTTCTTGATAATTTGGTAAATTTTTGTCAAACATTTACTTTTTTATTTTTGCTTTTTAAACTAATAAAAAAACTTTTTATGTAGAAAACAATGTTTAAATAGTATTTGACGATTACTGATCATCCTCAAGTCAATTCATTCAAAATAATGAAGATGGAAAGGTTTGAGATGGAGTGGCAGACCAAAAACAATGATATTGATTGCAGGTTATTTCTCATGAGACACATGGAAGTATATCGTGGTGGTGGAGTGGAGAAGATTGATGCTGATATATTGCATGAGTGTACCAGTCAAAAGATGCAATTAGTGGACATGAGGAAGAAATATGTTGGTAAGATTTTGTTGTCAAATTTAAATTTGTGCAAACCTTCTTTTGTTACTACTTTAGAGGATTATGATAAACTGGCAACCTACAAGAGGAAGAAGATTTATATTGAAGCTCATTTGCATGAAGTTGAAGTGATGGTTCAATCAACAAGTGTTCTTTGATCTGTGGTCGTTTCTTGTTTTGAAACTATTTTGGCTATTTGTGATTTTCTGAGGAAGACTATATAAGTATCCTTGTTTCTTTTGTGTTTAGAATTTTTATGTCTGTTTTTTTTTTTTTGGATGATCACCAATATATGGTAATCTATGATCCACTTATGTTATGATACTAGTGGTGTTTTATAATGTGATTTTCTAAGGAAGACTAAATATCCTTGTTTGTTTTTGTGTTTAGAAGTAATATGTATGTTTTTTTTTGTTTTGGAGGATCACCATTATATGGTAAACTATGATCTACTTATGCTATGATCCAAATGGTTGTTTATAATGTTTTTTATTCAAATTATTCACAAAAAAAAAGACAAATACTTCCCTAGTTAAAGAAAATTAAAATAGATAAATGTTATGTATTTTAGTATGTGGCCCAAAAGGTTTTTAAACTTTGTCCATGTTTAAAAGTAAGAGGGTGTCTAAGTTTAGTTTGTGGTCCAATGAGTTTATAAGACAAATACTATTATATATGAATCCTTAATTCAAAATTATATATTTTTTAAACTATATTTTATTCATAGTTTAATGATACAATTTTATTATTCCAAACTTTTATTTGATTTTATAAATTGAATTCCTTACATTATATAAAAACTTTCATCTATAAAAAATTATATTATATAAAAAAATTCACTAATATTTTTTAATCTTTAATAATTTTATCTTAAGTGAACCAATTAATTTTTTTGGATCAACTGATTTGCATCAAAAATATATTTATATATAAAGAATCAAAAAAGAATTTACCATTTAGAACATAATTTTAACTAAATTATCAAACAATTTTATGAAAAGCTTTGATGCATAAATTAATAAAGCAAAATTGTTTATTTTTGTTAATCAAATTTCAAATCTTATTAAAAACATTATAAATTATATTTTCGGATCAAAATTTTTTCATCAATTAAGAAACTTGCAAACAAAAATTACAGAAATGCCCTGAATTTCATTGTGAAGGGGAAGAGGGAATGTAGTTGCCTTGTGAAGATGATCCGCTGCTTCTCCAGCAAAACGTTCGCTTAAGGATTTCTCCAAAGTCTCAACTATCCTCATAAATTATATTTTCGGATCAAAATTTTTGCATCAAAAATATAAATATAAAATAATCAGAAAGAACTCACCATTTAGAATGCTATTTTATTTAAAACATAAAAAAATTATTAATGAGTATATAGTTCTTTTGTTAAAAATATATCATACAAATTTAAAATCTATCAAACATTAGATTTCGCTTCTTCTGTTGAAAATTTATGGCAATTACGTGCATCATGTTTTTCACTTGTCCCGTATTTTTTGTATTTACCATATTTATGACATTTTCTTCCATCATTCTTTGTTTTTTAGCAGCAATCTCCTTTTTTCCAGTGTTGTAAATATCGGTCTAGGCGGCCGATTAATCAGCACCTAGGCGCTTGGCGGTCCTCCACCGTCGACGTTTATAGCTAGTCGGCTTATATAATCGGACGTGGTCAAAGTCGGTCAAAGACGGAGATAATCGGGTCTAGGCGCCCTAATCAGTCAACGCAAGTCAACGTAATTTAAAATCATTTTAAGGGCAAAATTGTCAAAATGGAACAATTGCTTCTTAGGTTGCTTCTAGTTTCTCATTCAATCGTATGCAGTCAAAGAAAATTCACATTCTCTCTACACTCAAACCATGAACGAACGAAAGAAGTGAAATGGCGACATCGATCTTCTTCTTTCGTTCACCGGTTTTCTTTCTTTGATCTTCGCTTTTCAATGGTGGTTTCGACCGGTGGTTCTTTGATGTTGGTTGTCGTGGGGTTTACTCGACATGGGATATGGAAGGTGGCACGATGATGGTGGTTGTCGGCTGTTGATACGGGGCTGAATTAGGAGGTGTTCGAGGTGGCAAGAGTTCTCGGCAATAGCAGTTTCTCTGATGGATGTTCACGGTGTTTTAGAGGCTCGAAGTTGTTTGTAATTCGCCTTTTGCTGGAGTAGATAAGAAGCTACTGGCAGATGGTATCAGGAGGTGATGGTGAACTGGTGGCGGTGGAGGTTGTAGATTGATGAACTCCAACAAAATCATATATCTTCTTTACTTCTCCATTCTTCCCCAATTTTCTTTCTTTGATCAATTGCTACTTTTAGGTCACATGTGTGTTTCTTTTGTGTGCCACAACAGATCACCAGCACCCAATTGATGAACAAAAGTGTTCAAAGTAATTGAATTTATCAATCTTTATCATTTACCCGTTATCTTTTATTATCTTAGGATGGTTTTTTCCTATTCAATTTGAAGACCTTTTTGTTATAGTTGAGGAAAGATCGATAACATATGCTTGGAAAAAAATGTGGCAAGTTTACTAAAAGCATGCCATGAGGCTTATGGGGGTAAAAACGTCTTAATTTTTTGCTACAACCATCGTGTTGATGGACAGCATCTTGGAGCATTTCCAATGCATAATCTGTATAATTCTTGTACCCAATTACAAGTGCATAACAGTTGTTTGATATAATATCTCAGTGAAATTTGATTCACATTTGTTGGAGGCTACAACGTTCAAGATTGTTTTTTCTATATTTGACATGTGGAAAAAGGCATTTCTTTGTTTGAAAGCAATAACATTAACATTCAACCAAACAGGTTCATCATGAGTGCAGATGTGCATTTCTATAGGTCAGCAGGCTTGCTAGTAAAGGTTGAAGCTGTTTTGAGTAGCATCAATAGTTTGGGTATCTCTTTTCTCAACACACTTCAAATTGGATCCAAGATAAACCATGCAGATTGATTGATTCATTGATTTTCGAAATATGTTTGTTTTGAATTTGTAATTGTAAAATATAAATTGTAATGCGGTTTCTTCATGAATACAATACCTACCTTTTGCAGTTAGAAATATAAGTGTAAGATTTAGTTAACAAGTTTGTTTTGAATTTATAATGTTATATTCTTAGGATTAATGTCATATTTATTAATTTTTTAATAATTTTTTTAATAATTAATGGTCCCCGATTAATCCCCTGATTAATCCCCGCCTAGCCGATTAATCCCATAACCCCAGTCCACCGTCGAGCGTTTTCTGCAACCTTGCTTTTTTCCCCTCATTATTTTCTTCGTTCTTCGACCACCTTTTTTATTGATTAATGTAGGAGGTAATATATTTATTTTCTCTTATTGTTCAACTCCCTTCAAAGTCTCAATAACTTCTTTGTTGTTCATTGATTTTGCATTTTTTGTTTCTCTGTCAACATTTGTCATATTCTCATTCATTTCATTTATGAACAAAATCAATTTGTCAAAATCATTCTCTTATAATACCCGTAACATATTGAATTTCTTCTTTCTTTTCACTTGTATGAACATTTGCTATATTATAAGTATGTGTGTATCATGGTACCACATCCTTTGTCTATCTCTTTGTCAAATATGCTTTTGGATAACTTTCCACATCTTCCATTCTTAAAACATAGAAACAGTGTCTGCATTAAATTCCCTTCAATTCAAATTTGAAGTAAGAACAAAGAAGTTGTTGATCTGATTTAAAAAGTTTAACCTGTAAAATATAGTAAATAGTCAGTATAAGTTCTTTTAATAAGAGTAATATAACTGTAATTTATAATGTACCTCAAATTGTCCATGATGTTTTGGATGTTTGTCTGTATCTTTTATAATAAATCTTTTCAATTCTTCTAATTCTTCTAATGTTATTGGCATGCAACTAACCATTGATGCAATAATCTCGGATTGAATATCAAAGAAACATTTCTTGTGAAGAATTCAGCTGCTTCACCTTCAAGTTTCAATCCAGTTTTAAAATCCAATCTGGTTTTGTGTATCTTGAGTCATGATCATTTTTTTTTGAACGCATCTTTGTCCTTCTAGTGCAGTATCAAAATGAGTTGAAAATTCAATCAAATCCAAATCTGAGTTAGAGAGTAGCCCGTAAAAATAATTTTCAGCTTCGGATCTTAATGTAGTCCTCATCAATCCAGAGAAGGAACATTCTTTGATATAAGCAGGAATCCAGAGATCTCTCATTTTGTACATCTCGTTAAACCAATTGTTTTCATTTAAGTTAAACTCATCCATTATGTTTTTCCATGTTGATTCAAAATCTTCTTTGAGTACTATTTCATTCCAAATGATATCGCTTAACTTTTTCAAAACATCTATTTTTGCCATATGAATATATATATATATATATATATATATATATATATATATATATATATATATATATATATATATATATACTAGTCGTTTACCCGCGCCAAGCGACGGGTGCAATTTTTTTTTTCATAATGTAGTTCATAGAGGCGATTAGTTATTTTGCGCAAATAAGAATCATGCTAGCAAATACGAAATCAGTAAGAAAAAATATGAAGATTTAAGATTGTTTAAAATATGTACGAACACATAATTGTTGAATTTCCAGTGAGTAGTGTCATATGTTGATTAGTTGTATTGTTGTCAGAGGTACCTTTTTTTACTTAGAACAATCTACACATACACACACTAATATGTTCTTAAATTTACATCTTTCTACTTGAACCCCCAACCTCTTCAACTATCAGTCGACTTTTAATACTGTTAGGCCAAAGGTCTTTTAAGAAGGAGAGGGGTACCTTTGTGATGTGGTTATTATTGATATTTTATGTGTATGTGTTTTTTTTATATTATTAAAATAGTTTATGCAAAAAAAATATAAACTATTACTAATTTATTTAATAAAACCGATTATGGTCTGTATGGAAAATTAGGCATTATTCTTACTTGATTTGTGTTGCTTAAATTTGTAGAGATTTTAAGATTTATGATAAATAAGTTAAAAAATAAAATATTATATTATAAGTGGGTTTTGGCTTATAAAAATTTTTGTAATTACACCTAACTACTTATAAATAATTCGTTTGGTTTAAAGCCATTATCCACATTTAAAAAAACAGCAGTAGCACTTAACAATAACAGAATAAATTTAATACCG